TTAAGGTAGTGGTTGGTTTAAAGAGGGCTACAAAAATGATAATTCAAAACTGATATGGATTCATTATGCATCAAAACCTAATTCAAATATCAGAAAAAGAAATAGGTCAATGAATATAAATTAATTAATTAATTGCTGAATTTGATGTGATAAATAATATAAGAGGTAATTACAAAACTAAAATGAGAACAAATATAAATATGAGTGCCAATATATTATGTTTAACCTGAATGACATACATTAAATATAATTTATACTAAAATTGTTTTAGGTTAATTTGGTTTTTGTATGATTTAATCATTAAAGATTTTAATGATATCGGGACCCAGTGGACCATATGTTTAGTTTATTATTAAAGATTTTAATAATATCAGAGCCCGGAGGACCAAATGTTTAAATTTATTATTAAAGATTTTAATAATATCGGAGCCCGGAGGACCAAATGTTAATTTACTATGCCAATCCCTTCCAAGGCTGTCAGGGATATTGTCATAATAATTCTGCTTTAAGAGCAGGTGATAATTTATTGCTGTGGACTGTAAAATTAGAAGAGTTAATGGATTAAAGAAGTGAATATGTAAAATTGATGGCTTTATTTTATTACATGTAATTTTATACGGAGGTTAAATATAGGTGGGTTGGGATACTTGCATTATTTCTTTTCTTCTAGTAGCCAGTCTTCTTGTTCATCTTCCCTCTCTTCCTTTCTTGGCCCCTTGCCGGCCGCTGTAGGTTTTTACTCCATTTTCAACAAATCAGTGGAATAACGAATTTTCTAACTGGCCAGTCTTGTCAATCTCTCACGCTACGTGAGCGTCTACGCTTCAACAATGGCAGCGTCACAATTAACAACTGAGGTACATATGGAGTATGCTCCAGATAACAGCTGTGCTGTGATTTCTTGATTTAACTTAAATTAAATTTAAATATGAACTTGATGTGTTCCCTAAACAATATGTATGGGATTGTGCAGGTTGAACTTAGGTTTCTCTATTTTGACGATATATATGACGGTTATTGAATTTTGTTTCTCATTCATTAAGATATTCACTAAGTTCTCCTGGCCCATGGCTTGTGATAAATAAATAACCCTTCAGATGTAAAATGAGCTTTCTAAGAGAAATTAAAAAAAATAATTCATGCAATAAATGGTGTAGAAACCTCCTATTTATTTAATTAATTAGTGTTGTTTAAACAATTTTAAAGTTCTACTGTGTAATCAAAGAAACGTTCGCGGGCTGGATGGTAGGTGCTTGTGGGCCTTTGATTTCTAAAAAATAGTTTCAGATGACATCAACAGTCCTTCTAGCCACCATTTAAACCCATTAATTATTTTTTCTACCTGTTTTTTTTTTCCTGAGAATTTAGGTACATTCTTAGAGTTGGAAATCAGTGTACCTACAGCAGGTTGTTGCAAGGTTTGCAAAAGATATGCTGCTAAAGAAGCAATCAAAAGTTAAGATCACATCGGGATTTCTGATAGTACTCACAAGTTTTAGAACTACTCTTTCCCCTAGAGTGGTATTTGAATGAGCAGCTGGTACAGGTTCTTCTATGCCCAGGTAGATATTCATATCATATGCATAATCTGTTTCGGAGTCACAGCGTTCCCATATTTTTATGCCCCTTTTGACAGGCATGAACTACCTGAGGTCAGATCTCCTCTTGAACTTAGTCATGGACTCGTCAATGCTTTGAAATGGTGACTCCTCCCGAGCTCTAAGAAATGTGTGTTTGAGGCACGCTACAACTTCCTCAATATAATATACCTTGGAAGCATTGGACGGTTGCACTGGTTCATTGAAATACATGATATCTGTTTCTTGATGGCCTCATTCCCAAGCGAAGGATTATTTGAACAGTAATCTGATAAATTTGGTACCCTAGGTCATGAAAAGCATATACCTACCAATAACATAATTTCATTGAACTCATTGAACTACAAACATAGAAGCCATATCGAGGGAGTATACATTGTTGTGATCACTGACGTCACATATGACAGTGTTGCCAGTAACAGTGGTGTAGGTAGAATATACAATAACAAATAACATCAATTAATTCTAACACACCCCCTCGATTGAAGCTTTACAGAATTGAGAAATTTATATAACTAAAGATTCAATCGCAGACATTAATTAATCTTTTTTTTTTATATTTAAATAGTTTATCTCTAAATTTAATAATTTTTTCAATTTTTATATTCAACAGTATATTTCTAAATTTAATAAATTTTTCTTTGCATAATGACTTGGTCAATATATCAGCAACATTATCATTTGTATTAACATATTTATATTTTCATTCACCAATTCTTTTATTAGATATCGAATATCTATATGCCTTGCCGGTCTAGAATTTTCGTATGTGTTAATCATTGCAACAGCAATTTTGTTATCTACATATAAATTAACACTCCCAGCACTTGTATCAGAATTTTCGACACTAAACTCATGCACAATACCACGAAGATTGGCAAGATCCGCAGCTGCACCAGCACTGGCAGCCATATACTCGGCATCCATTGTAGAGATTACCACACAAGTTTGTTTTCTGGAGCTCCAAGCAATTGGGTTGTTAATAATTGTTAGGGTTTCTTTAAGAAACAATCACAGACAATAAGAAACGTTTATTGTGAAATAACACTACAAACATAGAAGCCATATGGAGGGTGTAAACATAGTACAGATCACTGACGTCACATCTGACAGTGTTGTATGTAGTATATACAATAATAAATAACCTTAATTAATTAATCCTAACACACCCCCTCGATTGAAGCTTTACCATAATTGATAAATTTGTATAACTAAAGATTCAATTGCAAACATTAATTAATTATTTTTTTATATTTAACAGAATATTTCTAAATTTAACAAATTTTTCTTTGCATAATAACTTTGTCAATATATCGGCAACATTATCATTTGTGTTAACATATTCAATATTTATAATATTTTTATTAACTAATTCTTTTATAAAATGATATCGAATATATATATGCCTTGCACGTTTAGAATTTTGGTATGTGTTTATCATAGCAACAGCATTTTTGTTATCTACATATAAATTAACACTTCCAGCACTTATATCAGAATTTCCGGCACTAAACTCATGCATAATACCACGAATATTGGCGAGATCCGCAGCAGCAGCACTGGCAGCCATATACTCTGCCTGCATAAAACGCCATGAATCCACTAACACTCCGTTATCTGGGTCGTTAGCATGTTCAGTATCTGAGTAGCCTATTAACTTAGCTTCACCTTTACTATAAATTAATCCCAAGTCTTTAGTCTGCTGTAAATAGCGAAGAATACGTTTCGCAGCTTTCCATAATTGGATCGTTGGCTTATGTCTTGCCAAGTAATTAACTGAAAAAGACAAATCAAGTCTGATGGTTACAGCCAAATACATTAGTGAGCACTCTAATATTCTATACAGTACATTTTCTTGTATTGGCTTATCTTTGTCTCTTCTTAACTTCTTAAAATTAACCTCCATTGGTGTCGCAACTGGACGACAGTTATCCATATTAAATTCTCTTAGTAATCTATTAATTATTTTAGGTTAAATTACCTTCAAATCTTGTTCATTTCTCTCGATCTCCATACCAATAAATGTAGATGCAACTTTGAATACCTTTAGTTCAAATTCTTTCTTTACCCTCTGAGGCGTCTGAAAACATGGCCTCAGGATCTTCTAATATAGAACTTTAATTTGAGTCCTATGGGTAGTTTCTCTTCATGCTGTACATGCCATGTTACAAATTTCTCATTTACTTATTGTATTCTCTATGTAATACAGTCGTAAATTCCATTAAAATAATTTTAAAAAAATTCTTTCTTTAGTGCTTTCAAAATCACTTCAACTTCCTCAGGATTGCCTGTTATTAGAGCATCATCAACATATAGGACAAGAAAAATATTTCTGGAAAAATAAAAATAGAAAGATGAACGTTTAAAATTAAACTTCACAACATAAAATCGTTGGTTCCAGCATTTTGATGCTTTCCGTAAGCTATACAAAGCCCATACAAATAAGTGATTGCTTGCACCTGAGTCTATTAAAAATTGGTTGTTATCACAAATAATTTCTTCTTTGCGGTTGAGTGATACTAATGAAAATTCATTTCTAGTTGAATAACCTTTACTGTGTGTATTATAATTTGACCTACCTCTGTCACCTCAGCTTATATTAGACTGACCTCTGTAGGATCGTCCTCCTCTGTTTCTATAATGATTTGCTCCTGGGAGTTTGGGACAGTTTATTTTGAAGTGAGTTTTATCACCACACTGTGTGAGTTTTAGCACCCTCGGTCCTGGTTAGCTTTGAAAGAAGTTTCATCTGGCAATGAATGTTTATTACCTTTAATTTTTAACTCTTCATCCAGTAGTCTCGCCTTAACAAAATCCATTTTTACATCTTTAATTGACTCTAATGCTGTCACAGTTGTACCATATTCTTCATCAAATTGTGTTCCCATGTCCACTAATTCTCTAATAATAGTATCAAATTTCAAGAAATGATCTTCCATGCTGTCAAAAACAGAATATTTTAGATTAAGTAACTGACGCCATAGTGTCTCCTCGTGAAGTGTAGCTAGCTACTGCCTAATTTCTTCCAGGGTGGCGACCAACCTAGAAAAATAGGAAAAGTCAAGGAATTTTTTTAGTACGTAAGTTTTAAATTTTAGTACGTAAAATTGGAAATAAATATACAGTGGATATCATTTATGGAGCAAACTTCATTATATATAAACATTATTAACGACCACGATGGCTATATCCATCCACCTTTGACTGTCAATAACGGCCTGTCTGCCTGAAACATTCTAACATCTGTGATTTCACGAAGAAGAATTCAAGTAAGAATAAGGCTCTCGCTAACTTCTGGAAATATTCCGGTATTAGCTCCTTTTTCCAGTAACATCTCCATGCCGTGACATAAGCAGCTCCAAAACCTAGAAATAATAGGGATTATATTCTACAGACTTGATAATGAATTATCCTATCCCTATAGCAGTACCTCATAGCAAGGTCAGTCCTACTTCCCCGAGCGACCCACATGCAGGCATCCCAACATTCCCGGTGCCACAACACTATTATCCTCTCGTTGCTGCATGGTATAGACCTATGTTCTGGTCCTCTCCTTTCATATTGACCTCCACCTTGGCATCCAGCATCGCTTTAATCGGAAGCAATGTGTAAAGGTGAAGACAATGGTTGTTTTTTAAATTTGTTGGGAGTTCACTTATTAAATTCTGTTTAACTTTGATAAGAGTGTGAATAAACAGAATGACAATTTACTAACCGTGGATTTAAAATATTTTCAATTTTTCCTAATGCTCGGAACGCTTTAACAACTGTGATTTCACTGTTGTTACCTCTAATGGTAACTATATGAATGTAGACACTGAATTGATTCTTGTCAACATCCATTCCTCTCTTCAGCAAGACCTCCAGTGGTCCGTTGTGACCTCTAGCAGTACCTATTTTATGGTATATAACTAATAAAGGCTTATCAACTTAAGCACGTTTACACAAAGTATTGACTGAAGATACACAATTATTTTTGACAGGCTCCTCAAATGAGCTTCCATTACTGGAGTCAAAACACTTCTACGCTCGCGATCAGAGCTAAATGTCTCCTCAGGTGTAACTCTTTATAACTATGTCTGTACGATATAACATTGTTGATTGTAGGCCTGCGTTCTGGTCCTTTCCTTCTATATTCAGCACTACTTCAGCATCCATCAACGCTTTAATTACTTCGATTTGTCCTCTACGGATTTCATAATGAAATATCCTATCCCTACTGCAGTACCACGCAGCAAGATCAGTCGTACTTCCCAGAAGGGCACACATGGAGACGTCGCAACATTCCCCGTGCCACAACAGTATCATCCTCTCGTTGCTGCATGGTATAGACCTATGTTCTGGTCCTCTCCTTTCATATTGACCTCCACCTTGGCATCCAGCATCGCTTTAATCGGAAGCAATGTGAAAAGGCGAAGACAATGGTTGTTTTTTAAATTTGTTGGGAGTTCACTTATTAAATTCTGTTTAACTTTGATAAGAGTGTGAATAAACAGAATGACAATTTACTAACCGTGGATTTAAAATATTTTCAATTTTTCCTAATGCTCGGAACGCTTTAACAACTGTGATTTCACTGTTGTTACCTCTAATGGTAACTATATGAATGTAGACACCGAATTGATTCTTGTCAACATCCATTCCTCTCTTCAGCAAGACCTCCAGTGGTCTGTTGTGACCTCTAGCAGTACCTATTTTATGGTATATAACTAATAAAGGCTTATCAACTTAAGCACGTTAACACAAAGTATTGACTGAAGATACACAATTATTTTTGACTGGCTCCTCAAATGAGCTTCCATTACTGGAGTCAAAACACTTCTAGGCTCGCGATCAGAGATAAATGTCTCCTCAGGAGTAACTTTTTATAACTATCTCTGTACGATACAACATTGTTGGTTGTAGGCCTGCGTTCTGGTCCTTTCCTTCTATATTCAGCATCCATCAACGCTTTAATTACTTCGATTTGTCTTCTACGGATTTCATAATGAAATATCCTATCCCTATTGCAGTACCACAGAGCAAGATCAGTCGTACTTCCAGAAGGGCACACATGGAGGCGTCGCAGCATTCCTGGTGCCACAACACTATTATCCTCTCGTTGCTGCATGGTATAGACCTATGTTCTGGTCCTCTCCTTTCGTATCGACCTCCACCTTGGCATCCAGCATCGCTTTAATTGAAAGCAATGTGTAAAGGCATAGACAATTATTGTTTTTAAAATTTGTTGGGAGTTCATTTATTAAATTTTGTTTAACGTTTATGAGGAGGTGAATAAACTAAGTGATAATTTACTAAGCATGGATTTCAAATTTGTTTCCTTTTCTCCTAATGCCTGAAGCATTTTAACTTCTGTGATTTCACAGAAGTAAGAATAAGGCTCTCGCTAACTTCTGGAAATATTCTGGTATCAGCTCCTTTTTCCAGTAAAATCTCCATGCCCTGACATTAGCAGTGTCAACAGCTCGAAATAATGGTGATTAAATTCTTCAATGATTCTTGTTCACATCCAATCTCTGTTATTCAAGAACTTTAATGCACTCTTGCTACCTCTAATGTTAACTATATGAATGTAGACACCGAATTGATTCTTGTTAACATCCATTCCTCTCTTCAGCAAGACCTCCAGTGGTCCATTGTGACCTCTAGCAGTACCTATTTTATGATATATAACTAATAAAGGCTTATCAACTTAAGCACGTTTACACAAAGTATTGACTGAAGATACACAATTTTTTTTGACAGGCTCCTCAAATGAGCTTCCATTACTGGAGTCAAAACACTTCTAGGCTCACGATCAGAGGTAAATGTCTCCTGAGGTGTAACTTTTTATAACTATCTCTGTACGATATAACATTGTTGGTTGTAGGCCTGCGTTCTGGTCCTTTCCTTATATATTCAGCACTACTTCAGCATCCACCAACGCTTTAATTACTTCGATGTGTCCTCTACGGATTTCAAAATGAAATATCCTATCCCTATTGCAGTACCACAGAGCAAGATCAGTCGTACTTCCAGAAGGGCACACATGGAGGCGTCGCAACATTCCCGGTCCCACAACAATATTATCCTCTCGTTGCTGCATGGTATAGACCTATGTTCTGGTCCTCTCCTTTCATATTGACCTCCACTTTGGCATCCAGCATCGCTTTAATCGGAAGCAATGTATAAAGGCGAAGACAATGGTTGTTTATAAAATTTGTTGGGAGTTCATTTATTTAATTCTGTTTAACTTTGATAAGAATGTGAATAAATGAAATGACAATTCACTAACCGTGGATTTAAAATTTGTTTCAATTTTTCCTAGTGCTCGAAACGTTTTAACAACTTTGATTTCACTGTTGTTACCTCTAATGGTAACTATATGAATGTAGACACCAAATTGATTCTTGTTAACATCCATTCCTCTCTTCAGCAAGACCTCCAGTGGTCTGTTGTGACCTCTAGCAGTCCCTATTTTATGGTATATAACTAATAAAGGCTTCAACTTAAGCACGTTTACACAAAGTATTGACTGAAGATACACAATTATTTTTGACAGGCTCCTCAAATGAGCTTCCATTACTGAAGTCAAAACACTTCTAGCCTCACGATCAGAGGTAAATGTCTCTTCAGGTGTAACTCTTTATAACTATCCCATACGATATAACATTTTTGGTTTTATGCTTGGGTTCTGGTCTTCTCTTTCTATATTCAGCATCCATCATTGCTCTAATTACTTCGATTTGTCTGCTACAGATTTCATAATGAAATATCCTATCTCTATTACAATACCACAGAGCAAGATCAGTCGTACTTCCCAGAAGACCACACATGGAGGCCTCCCAACAGAGCCGTCGCCACTGCAGTATTATCCTCTCGTTGCTGCATGGTATAGACCTATGTTCTGGTCCTCTCCTTTCGTATCGACCTCCACCTTGGCATCCAGCATCGCTTTAATAGAAAGCAATGTATAAAATCATAGACAATTATTGTTTTTAAAATTTGTTGGGAGTTCACTTATTAAATTCTGTTTAACTTTGATAAGAGTGTGAATAAACAGAATGACAATTCACTAACCGTGGATTTCAATTTTTTTCAATTTTTCCTAATGCTTGAAACGTGTACACAGAAATGACTCTTGTTAACATCCATTCCTCTCTTCAGCAAGATCTCCAGTGGTCCAATGTGACCTCCAGCAGTAGCTATTTATGGTAGATAACTAATAAAGGCTCATCAACTTAAGCACATTTACACAAAGTATTGACTATGTAATAACTCGCTCAAGGTTATTAATGTCATGCATAAATGGTATCTGATCTTCTTTTAGTAAGTGATTGCTTGCACCCGAGTCTATTAAAAATTTGTTTTTATCACAAATAATTTCTCCTTTGCAGTTGAGTACTACTAATGAAAATTCATTTCTAGTTGAATTACCTTTACTGTGTGTATTATAATTTGACCTACCTCTGTAAACTCCGCTTCTATTAGACTGACCTCTGTAGGATCGTCCTCCTCTGTTTCTATAATGATTTGTACCTGCGAGTTTGGGACAGTTTATTTTGAAGTGAGTCCTATCACCACACTGACAGCAACCTCGGTCCTGGTTAGCTTTGTAAGAAGTTTCATCTTGCAATGAATGTGCATTGCCTTTCATTTTTAATTCTTCATCCAGAAGTCTCGCCTTAACAAAATCCATTTTTACATCTTTAATTGACTCTAATGCTGTCACAGTTGTACCAAATTCTTCAGGCAATGTCAAGAATAAATGACATATTTTATCAGTTTCATCAAACTGTTTTCCCATGTCTACTAATTCTCTAATAATGGTATCAAATTTCAGAAAATGATCTTCCATGCTGTCAACGACAGAATATTTTAGGTTAAGTAACTTACGCCATAATGTAAGTTTAGAAAAAGCTGTAGTCCTCACAAAAACATCCTTTAGGGCCTTAATCATCAACTTTGCAGTAGTAAAGTCCTTCACTAAGTCAAGATGTTTGTCAGAAAGTCCTTCAATAATGATAGCTTTAGCTTTGGCATCTTGTAACAGGAATGTTTTCTTGATATTTTCATTGTTCGGAATTTCTTTTGTCAACACATCCTTAATCTGTTCTTTTTCCAATATTGCATTGATTCTAAATTCCCAATTGCTATAATTTGACGCGACTAGAATAGGAACTGCAGAACTTACTTTGGCCATTGCTTCTTTGTTTTTATAATCACACAAGATTACGTGAGGATCATAAACAATTGTCAATACAATGGGCCCATAACGTGTTAATAATGGTTAGGGTTTCTTTAAGAAACAGAAATAGAACACTACAAACATAGAAGCCATATCGAGGGTGTAAACATAGTACAGATCACTGACATCACATCTGACAGTGTTGCCAGTAACAGTGTTGTATGTAGTATATACAATAACAAATAACCTTAATTAATTAATACTAACATGAAGATACACAATTATTTTTGACAGGCTCTTTAAATAAGCTTCTATTACTGGAGTCAAAACACTACAAGGTCAATCGTACTTCCCAGAAGGACACATGGAGGCGTCCAAACGTTCCTGGTGCCACTACAGTATTATCCTCTCGTTGCTGCATGGTGTAGACCTATGTTCTGGTTCTCTCGTTTCATATCGACCTCCACCTTGGCATCCAGCATTGCTTTAATCGAAAACAATGTGTAAACGCATAGACAATATTTGATTTTAAAATTTGTTGAGAGATCATTTATTTAATTCTGTTTAACGTTTATGAGGGGGTGAAGTGAATAAACTAAGTGATAATTAACTAACCATGGATTTTAAATTTGTTTCCTTTTCTCCTAATGCCTGAAGCAGTCTAACATCTGTGATTTCACAGAAGTAAGAATAAGGCTCTCGCTAACTTCTGGAAATATTCTGGTATCAGCTCCTTTTTCCAGTAACATCTCCATGCCGTGACATTAGCAGCGTCGACAGCTCGAAATAATGGTGATTAAATTCTTCAATAATTCTTGTTCACATCCAATCTCTGTTATTCAAGAACTTTAATGCACTGTTGTTACCTCTAATGGTATCTATATGAATGTAGACACCGAATTGATTCTTGTTAACATCCATTCCTCTCTTCAGAAAGACCTCCAGTGGTCCATTGTGACCTCTAGCAGTACCTATTTTATGGTAGATAACTAATAAAGGCTTATCAACTTAAGCACGTTTATACAAAGTGTTGACTGAAGATACAAAATTATTTTTTGACAGACTCCTCAAATGAGCTTCCATTACTGGAGTCAAAACACTTGTAGGCTCGCGATCAGAGGCAAATGTCTCCTCAGGAATAACTCTTTATAACTATCTCTGTACGATATAACATTGTTGGTTGTAGGCCTGCGTTCTGGTCTTCTCTTTCTATATTCAGCACTACTTCAGCATCCATCATTGCTCTAATTACTTCGATGTGTCCTCTATGGATTTCATAATGAAATATCCTATCCCTATTGCAGTACCACAGAGCAAGATCAGTCGTACTTCCCAGAAGGGCACACATGGAGGCGTCGCAACATTCCCGGTGCCACAACAATATTATCCTCTCGTTGCTGCATGGTATAGACCTATGTTATGGTCCTCTCCTTTCGTATCGACCTCCACCTTGGCATCCAGCATCGCTTTAATTGAAAGCAATGTGTAAAGGCATAGACAATATTGTTTTTAAAATTTGTTGGGAGTTCATTTATTTAATTCTGTTTAACGTTTATGAGGGGTGAATAAACTAAGTGATAATTAACTAACCATGGATTTAAAATTTGTTTCCTTTTCTCCTAATGCCTGAAGCAGTCTAACATCTGTGATTTCACAGAAGTAAGAATAAGGCTCTCGCTAACTTCTGGAAATATTCTGGTATCAGCTCCTTTTTCCAGTAACATCTCCATGCCCTGACATTAGCAGCGTCAACAGCTCGAAATAATGGTGATTAAATTCTTCAATGATTCTTGTTCACATCCATCTCTGTTATTGAAGAACTTTAATGCACTGTTGTTACCTCTAATGGTAACTATATGAATGTAGACACCGAATTGATTCTTGTTAACATCCATTCCTCTCTTCAGCAAGACCTCCAGTGGTCCGTTGTGACCTCTAGCAGTACCTATTTTATGGTATATAACTAATAAAGGCTTATCAACTTAAGCACGTTTACACAAAGTTTGACTGAAGATACACAATTATTTTTTGACAGGCTCCTCAAATGAGCTTCCATTACTGGAGTCACAACACTTCTAGGCTCACGATCAGAGGTAAATGTCTCTTCAGGTGTAACTCTTTATAACTATCCCGTACGATATAACATTTTTGGTTTTATGCTTGCGTTCTGGTCTTCTCGTTCTATATTCAGCATCCATCAACACTTTAATTACTTCGATTTGTTCTATACGGATTTCATAATGAAATATCCTATCCCTATTGCAGTACCACAGAGCAAGATCAGTCGTACTTCCAGAAGGGCACACATGGAGGCTTTCCAACATTACGGATGCCACAACAGTATTATCCACTCATTGCTGCATGGTGTAGACCTAAGATTTGGTCCTCTCCTTTCCTATCGACATCCACCTTGGCATCAAGCATCGCTTTGATCGAAAGCAATGTGTAAGGTATAGACCATTTTTATTTTTAAAATTTGTAAAAAGTATGACTAACGCTCTTGCTAACTTCTGGAAATATAAATGTCTCCTCAGGTATAACTCTTTGTAACTATCTCTGCATGATAACATTCTTGGTTATAGGCCTGTGTTCTGGTCCTCTTCTTTCATATCTACAGCTACTTCGGCATCTAGCATCGCTTCGTGGTGACTTTGGTTGGCAAGGTCAGCTCTACTTTCCAGAAGAGCATACGGCGTCTTAACAGTACTGTCTCTACTGCAGTATGTCATCTCTTTGCTACATTGTGTAGGTCAGTATTCTGGTCTTCTCCTTTCATATCCACAGCTACTTCGGCATCTAGCATCGCTTCGTGGTGACTGGTTGGCAAGGTCAGCTCTACTTTCCAGAAGAGCATACGGCGTCCGAACAGTACTGTCGCTACTGCAGTATGTCATCTCTTTGCTACATGGTGTAGGTCAGTATTCTGGTCCTCTCCTTTCATATCCACAGCTACTTCGGCATCTAGCATCGCTTCGTGGTGACTTTGGTTGGCAAGGTCAGCTCTACTTTCCAGAAGAGCATACGGCGTCTTAACAGTACTGTCTCTACTGCAGTATGTCATCTCTTTGCTACATTGTGTAGGTCAGTATTCTGGTCTTCTCCTTTCATATCCACAGCTACTTCGGCATCTAGCATCGCTTCGTGGTGACTTTGGTTGGCAAGGTCAGCTCTACTTTCCAGAAGAGCATACGGCGTCCGAACAGTAGTGTCGCTACTGCAGTATGTCATCTCTTTGCTGCATGGTGTAGGTCAGTATTCTGGTCCTCTCCTTTCATATCCAAAGCTACTTCGGCATCTAGCATCGCTTCGTGGTGACTGGTTGGCAAGGTCAGCCCTACTTTCCAGAAGAGCACATGGCGTAATAACAGTACTGGCGCTACTGCAGTATGCCCTCTCTTTGCTGCATGGTGTAGGTCAGTATTCTGGTCCTTTCCTTTCATATCCACAGCTACTTCGGCATCTAGCATCGCTTCGTGGTGACTTTGGTTAGGAAGGTCAGCTCTACTTTCCAGAAGAGCACACGGTGTCCTAACAGTACTGTCTCTACTGCAGTATGCCCTCTCATCAATGCATGATGTAGGCCTGTGTTCTGTTCCTCTCCCTCCATATCCACAGCTACTTTGGTATCCAGTGTTGCCTGTTTATTTATGGTTTATCCTCTACGGGCCTTATAATGTAATATCCAATCTCTATTGCAGTACCTCAGAGCAAGGTCAGTATTTTCAAGAATGGTACACTCAGAGGTGTCCCAAAAGTACTGTCACCACTGCAGTATATCCCCTCATCGCTACATGGTGCAGGCCGGTGTTTTGGGTCTCTCCTTACATTTTATCCACCATTACTCTAGCATCCAGCATCACTCTTCGATTTTTCTTCTACAGGCTTCATGATGTAATAACCCATTGCTGTACTTGAGAGCAAAATCCCTATTGCGATAACTCTAAGAAAAATCCCTCCTATTCTTCATAACAGCTGACTTAGTATTTGGAACTGCTATGAAAGAATAAAGATGACACTGTTAATGCAATACGAAGTTGTGATTTCCTGTTTAAATTTTTTCTTTTGTTTATCAACATAACGTCTTTATTAACTTCAGAAATCTATTCCTGTTTCCACAATTATCTGGCAGATTGATATTCTATTCATTTTTAACGAATGCCTGAAATACTTCCAACATCTGTGACTAGACAGAAGTCCAAATAATGCTAACTTCTGGAAATATTCAGTGTCAGCTCCTTTTTCCAGCAATATTCACATCCTGGACATTAACAGTTCTTACAACTCGAAATAATAGGGTTTTGTTCTTCTTGTTCATATCCTTGTTCTGTTCTTCAAGGATTAAGGATCTAATATGAATTTGGATGTCTGCTTGGATATAATGCTTTTTAACTTTAACATTGTACCATATTAGAGTCTCTACCAACTCCAACAGCATGAGATAATGGGGTTTTGTAGAATTGATTCTTATTCACATCTATTCTTCTCTTCAACAAGACCTCTAACTCTCTGTTGGACTTCCAAGTGCTACGTTGCACTTGCATCTCTATCGGTAGCAATATGATATCTAACAAACACTTGTCATCTTTAGAAAGATTTTATTGAAGATACATCATTGTTTTTGATATAGCCTCCTCAAATGGAGTTTCATTATTATTATTATTTGATTCTAAATCCATTTCAATGAGTTCTATAATAGAAGAATTAGAAGCAACTTGTAAAGGCGTAAGACCATTTTGATATTTTGGCAGCCTCATTTCTTTGATTACTTCTCACATTTAAAGGTTTCCAAAGCGAGCAACTAAATCAAATATTGTGTCACCATTTTTGTAGGTGAATTTCAAATCACTTTCAACTAATGCCTCAAAAATTTCAACTTTCTTCTTTGATTTATGGCTATCTCAATAAGGCTCTTGCCACCTATGGAAGTAATCCAGCATCAGCTCCTTTCTTCAGAAAAATCTCTTTACCATAGGCATTGCCTGCTCTGATAGCTTGATATATTATTGTTTAAGACTGCTTCTTCCAGACGATTTGCTAAATCTCGACAATGAGGTTGTCCACGATGCTATTGACTGCTATCTGCCAATGTTTATAACCTGAACATTGATAATTGTGATAAGGCTCTGATAACGCTTCTCATAATTCTTATGTCCATATTGATATTTATTGTATTATAATCATATTATTGAAATTGCAAACCAAAACAAAAACAAATGTAATAATTTCCACAACAATCAGTAAACACTTTATTTAATTTTACAACACATATATGAAATGGACAAAAATAAATGTAATAATAAAAAAACACTTAAACAACATATGTACATATAAAAAAAACCAATATAATCACTATAAACAATTTATTTTCACTTCACCTTATTTATTTTGGTAAGCAAAATAGTTTGATGCTATTTAAAATAGCGATGAGCGGGTCCCCTTCTCTGTGAACCCGCCGCCACAAATATGAATCGAGGTGTTGTCTGGCAGTTCCTCTATGTACTTTATTTCTCCACTTCGCTGAGCCCCATAATCGTTCTATGAGTTGAGTATGAACCCCAGTTGATGGAGCGACAAAATTATACCGGTGATTCACTTGGAAATGGTCATAGTTTGCTTCATTCAGTTGTCGGGTGTTGTATCCTTTCCAACAATCCGAATAAATGGTCCTTCCCTCTTCTATATTTTCTTTAATTGCTTGTAATAAGGTTGTTGCCTTTCTGTCGTTTATTTTGACGATAAAACATAACACAAACGGGACAAAAAAAAAGAATGTAATAAGTAAATAACTAACTGAATCTGTTGTAACAAGGGAGGTTTCGTCTAGGCCTACTATCGGACAAGTACCAGCTATTGTTTAAGACTGCTTCTTCTAGACGATTCGCTAAATCTTGACGATGAAGCTGTTCCCAAATTTGAAATCATTCTCACAGCTATTGTGTATGCTTCATCCAGATGATTTCCTAAATCTTAATGTCCTTCCTGAAACAGGTACTTTAAAATATAATTATTGTGAAAATAAAACATTTAATCCTTAAACATGCTTGGTGCATAACCGGTATACAGTTTAATTAATGAGGTTACTACATATTGAAAGTAACCCTACAAGCATTATCACAGGACATTAGTATACGTTTGGATCCGTTTGAAGAATCCCGGATGGCCTGCAATGGTAAACGGTGTCCTGGACATGATGCTACTTCTCAAAGAAGACACAATACTCCTTCAAATCTTTCTGGAAACTCCAAATTGTATGGGCTCCAAAACCTGTCGATATCACCGTATGGCCGTTCAGTATACAATAAGCGTAATGCTTCTTCTGTCCTTTCTTCCAAAAGCTCAGGTTGTCGCATCTGTATAGAACTGTTTGATATAAAAAGGCTTTTCCTGCCTTGCGTTTCTAATATCTTATTTGTTCCACCTTTAATTAAAGGAATGTACTGTTCCAATTGATTTACAAATGGTGTGAATGTGATCTCTGAACACTATTATAAATGTCCTTTGAGATAGATTGTAATATTTTTCAATAAACAAGTTAAAAAAATAACATGCTAGTTTACTCACAGCAATAAGTAAGTAAGTATGATAATAATTAATAAATATAATTTTTCTAAAATCTAAATGACAAACCTATAATACAATACATGCTGGTATACTTACGGCAATTATAAACCAATCCGACCAGACTAGTCAAAGCATAAATATTAGATTTTATTTATTTTGATCTCAATTACAATATTTCAACAATTATTGAAAATTTAAGATTTATGGAAGAAAATAAAAATTAATGAAATCTCATGAAATATTTAATGTTCTAACTTACATAACAGAAAATTTGATACATCACTAAGTTGACATTAGTAAAAAAATAATTGAGGAAATAAGTCTATAGGTATGTATAATTGAGGATGCGGCCAATGATGTCCTCGATATTAGTTCTTGTTCAAGGTAAATTTTGTGCTCACCTTTTCTTTATATTCGAATTTCTAAAAAATTGCAAGCTGCTCAGAAGTCTTTCACTTTACATTATTCATTTTGATCTTTCTTCGGTCTTGTGTATTATTGATTATTAGTATTTATGGAATTATATAATCTTTTTTACCTTTAATAATCAAAATGTGATTGGGTAAGAAAGATTAGAGAAAAAAAATTGACCATTATTACTTGACCATAAAAATGAACCATTATTATTCAAAAAGAAATTAATTACATCATCGTTTAGTAGCGCCTGTTTCCTCCTCTTGCCTTCACTACTTCTTGAAGACGCCTCGGTATACTTCCACCAGTCGGGAAATGTCCCTGTGCTTGAGGATAACCCATTCCTCCCGAAGAGCCCTTTCAAGGTCCTGCAGTGTATCAGGAAGTGTTGCACGCGCTCTTATTCGTCTTCCGAGGTTATCCCAGGCTAAAACCTCAATATTGTTCTGTTGAAGGA